TCGCTAAATATAGCTAGCTAGCCAGTGTTGTCTCGCACTGGCCTCTAGCTAGCTAGCTCTAGCTAGTTAGAGGCACTTAACAGAGTAGCTCTAGCTAGCTAGCTAGAGGCCAGTGCGAGAAGCTAGCTAGCTAGAGGCCAGCACGACACAACACTGGCTCAGTCTGAGACTATTTGTACTTTCGTGCAAAGCATAATGGGAAAAAAATAGGAAGTAGAAGTGCAAGAAACACACTAAAATATAACCACTAATTGTAATTTAGTCAGCTTGAACAGGTTGTAAGGCCTTTTGAGAGTGGCGAGTCCATGGTCGGTCAGAAGTAATGGCGGATCAGTTGAACAAAAGCAAAATGGACCGTTATTAATGGCCTTGTGCCTCATCGCCTTCTCAGTTGCTCAAGTCCATTAATTCCTGTTGCTCAATTGTTTCTGGATGCACTTAACAGACTTTGGACACTTTTCGAGGCCATTGCTGCCGTCCAAGTAGGATGTTTTTAAGCTGCTCCCCTTTCACAAGCTTTTTTGGCGCCCCTTTCAAAAGTGTTATCAAAGAACATATCCGACTTGACCGAAAATTCTTGTGTAGCTTAGGTTAATCCTCCTCTTTTTTTTTTTTTTTTTTGTAGGAGTGATTGCCCATTTGTTAGGCTTCAGGTTTTCGGCGAGCTCAAGACCAACTGTAATATTTAATTGAGTTAGCAGTTTGAGGTATTGTGGCTCTGAATTCTGTTGATCGTGAGTGTTTTGATCATGGAAACTGCAAACTGAACTTTCAGACGGCAACGTTTTGACTTCAAATGTACTAACGTCAATCTTAAAATACTGTCAATATGAGGCTGGTGGAAAGTGAATGGAGTGATGAGCCCAACGAAATGTAAACATTCTGTTGGCCTTGAAAATCATGAAACATTCCCATAAAGGTTCTCGTTACAATGGAAAGCCAACAGTCTACGGCTGCAGCCAAAAAGCCCCTTGATCATATTCCTTTTGAATAAAGCACATTAAGTTTATGGAAGGACATGACAGATATGACTTTGGCAGCATCCCCCATCGCGTTCATCTACAGGTGCAGCCCGTAAATCTGCTCCCTTCGACTCCCCGGACGCTTCTCTTTGTCATAAAAGATTTATCTGACATATTAGAGCACAATACCTGCTCCGCCACTGGGACTGGGCCGAGGGCGCGTTGGGGAGGAATAGGAGTGGATAATATCACAGGAAGCAGACATCTCATGAGTCCTAACCTCTTAAAGTCCTTACTGGAGAGTACGATAATAGTCCATTGTGCTTCAAATGGAACAAACAAGATGAGCATTTTTTTTAAATTTCTTTAAAAGGACGGTGGAATGACAAAAAACAAAACAAAACAAAAACATCTGACTACCTGGCAGAAACCGACTGAGATGCCCTTTAATGGGCAAGTTCAGATAAGACATGGTTTAAACAAAACAAAACAAAACAAAAAAAAAATATATATATATATATATATATATATATATATATATATTAATGTGCATCTTTAATTCTCCCGTAAAGTTTAACGGGGGTTTCATTGAACAGCTTCCAGAACACTCTTGCAGGGCAGAATCACATGCACATCGCATGCTTGCCGTACAAGCAGCATGATGCATTCCCAGAAACTTGCAAATGGACCATTGATCGTTTTTCTTCGATTATAAAGCTTTTATGATCATGACGAGCTGAAATCAAAGTCACTGTTTCGATTAATTGACCAACCCTATGAATGGCACTTGAGTATTTGAATGGTGGGAAAATGTTTGTGCGCCTATTGTTGAGACTCGACGATGAGATGCCGAGCTTCTATAATGCAAACGGACAGCCTGAATCCACTGCGCTTGAGTAATTGGACCCTGCGGCCAGACACGCATACATACGTACCCTCGCGCCTCATCACTCTTGCTTTGCATTTATCAGATAAAACCAGCCTGTTGTGAGATTAGCGTCAATGGGCTCTCTGGACTACGCTTGCTTTTCTTGGTCGGCGACAAATCGAGCAACAGCGGTTCAGGCAGAGGCCGATTCCCATCGGGTTATCGGAAATAGACATCGCCTTGGATAAGCAGGTCAAACTTGGGAGTGCTTTGCCCTCTGAGCAGGGAAAACGGCATCGGGCTAAAAAGTATATTGTCTCTTTCCGATATAAACCATGGACAGGCCCGGCACACAAGGGCGTTAGAATACGTTTTTCCTGTAATTTTGACTTGACTACTGTGTTAGATAGAGTTGACACTGACGTGTTCTGACCCGTTCCGCTGTCGAAAAAGAACTTCACATAAACCTGCTGAAAGGGCACATTTACTTTTTTTTCTTGCGCAATAAAAGAAAAAATGGGTTTCCAGTGACATTTTACAATGCCGACCACAAATCGCTGTGGTACAGCTTTCCATCCATCATTTTTACATGTTCAGTATACTGTTCGTTTTATGTTTCAGCATATCTCTTGTCTCTTCGTGTCAAGGGCGGTTACCGACTTGTGTGCAAAGCTCTTGATGCACGAAAGCCTTTCATACGTTTTTATCCAAATTGTTCCCTCATTCATCTAAAGTAAAAGCCATCAGCTTTTGCCTTGTGAGTCCAAGTTAGCTGTTAAAAATTGTCAGAAAAATACAGTGACAAGGTTATCAGTCGCCTAAAGCACGCTCAACATCATCGACCTGCGCGCTCTGTATCAACAATGCCTTGATGAAATTATTCCTGCGCAATCATTTTGATGAGCCATCGTTGATTGTTGCTTCTGATTATGTCTTTGCCAATACGTATTACAGTTGCATCATTTTACATCAAAAGTGTGTAGGAGTGTGTTATTTTTTTTTAAATTATAAAAAAAAAAAAAAAATGGATTTCTTCATCAAACATTGGCAAGCCTCTTTGGGTTTCTTTGTTTCATTTTTTTTTTTTTTTTTTAACTCTGATCTGCTCTTTGTCCAATTATACCTGCACTGTAACCATCAGTTGGACAATGACACATTCACATCAACTTGTCTGTCGGTTCCCATCATACAAGCTCATCGATCGAAATCAGGAGCTCCTAAACAAAAACCGAGCACTTAGGCCTTCTGTTTTGTTCCCGCTGCTACCTACATCCTGGGACCGGCAGGCTCAGGCATGTAGATGAATGACAGTGTTTGGAGAAGCAAAGCAAAGTGGCGGCTAATGGCCTCTTTGTTAACCTGGCTTGGCCTCAGCCGCATGATCGATTTGGTGTAGCTTATACACAGCAAAACTGGGGCCCATTAGCTGTTGAGCAATATGTTGATCTTTTTTTTTTTTTTTAATCCATATTGTTTTTTGGGGTTTTTTTTTTTGGTCATGAAAGTCAGTTTGTGAGTCAGTTACAATCAGAAACTACCATCATGATTTCATGAATGAAAACCAAAATGTCTCTTTCTTATCTCCATTCTTCCCATGCTTTCATCCCAGCGTAGCATATTAAGCATGTGAGTGGCACGCATATTAATTGTGGTAATGAAGGTCATCCGGAAGAGCAGCTGG